AAAACCGAAATACATAAGCATGGTAGGTGAACATATTACCTTAGAATTACATAATAACTGTAGGTAAAGTGCCACTCTGCGACGACCGCGATCGCCTGCTTTTAGACATTTCTTACTTTCTACCTACTGACATCGTCCTAGTAGCCCGGTTAATCTGGTTTCATTTGTCTATATCGATGAATAATTTTCCTTCACCTTTGCCATAGACTACACTTAAATCTTTTTTTTCTTTGTTTTACTTAAATTTGGGTAGTGTCTTTCCCCTTCGTGGTTCATTCGGTTAGGTGGTGCAATGGTGGTCGCCTCGCTGCCCCTTGCGCTGTCGATGCTCTCGTTTGACTGTGCCTAAGATAAAAATGCGAATGTCTTGCTTTCTGTATCGGATGCTTTTTTGGTCAGCTCGCTCCCATTTCATGTTCTTTATTCAGTCACTCGACGGCCTTTAAAGTGACCTAAAATGAAGAATTCTACGTAAATTCAATGTATTACCTCCCCACACGACAAGTGGTGTTCCAATGAAGGATTTATTCGTAACTGATAGGGGGTAAGACAATAGGATCCAATTGCAAATACAAGCGAACATACGAGTCCCAGGAAGTAATTGAGAAGAAGACAACTCGATCGCTGGGATAATACTTTTTTCGCCTGACGTTTCGACATCCGTCGCGGATTCATCGTCAGAGACATTAGCATAAATCGGTAGCAGAAATGGGTAATACATGCACAGGAGGTCGCAAAATTTATACGATACGGTCATTACTGCAAACATGCAGCGACAATTAACGTTAATTGCCTTCTTATGCGGCTCATTCGACGAGACCCGGCCACACATTATGATTGGATGATGCCGAAAATCTCGCAAGAGGTGACAATCGGGTGAGCGGAGAATGACCTGAATCATGGTTTACGGGCCTAAATCCACAAGATTTGCCCAATCCATATTTGGTGCTGAGACTCAATTTGGCCAAAGCAAGTCGCCACTTGGGGAAAGGACAGGCCACCGCGTCAGCCCACACCAACATCGGAGGGCCAGATCGCCGAGCAATCATCATGCCCGAGTTCGCAACGCGTGATGAAATTTCAACAGGTCAAAGCTTGCATGACGTTCGGCAAACTATCAACACACAAAAAGGCAATTAACGCTAATTTTCGCTGTTTGTTTACAGTAATGACTGTATCCAATAAATACTGAAAACTCCTGTTCATGCAGTACCCGTTTCTGCAACCGATTTATGCTAATGTCTCTGATAATGAATCCGCGACGGAAGTCGAAACGTCATGCAAATAAAAGCATTGTCCCAGCGATCGCGTTGTCTTCTTCCCAATATGATCCAAGCAAAGACTTCCGTTATCGTATTTGACGCCCTATATTTTGAAAGCAGACGCGTACAGCTATTCATGAACGGGTGATAAAATAGCCTTTACACGTATCGGTGCAGAGTCCGTTTGACTGTAGACATACTTAATGTATTAATTGTTTTTATGCCTAGCCCGCAGTCTGAGGACACGGTGGGTGACGAATCTCCAAAGTCTAATAAATAAATGAGCAAATTTCTCGAAGGTATTCACTCATGCCTTTTGAATATCTTGGGATGCCTATACTTCTACGTTTATATACAAATCTGCGATTACGGCCAAGCAACCAGAAATTGCCATTCTAGTCTTCCTTGCCTTTGTCAGTATCCTCGTTCTGCCCATATCATTAGCTACCGTGCGGTTGCTAGCGGAGCTCATGTGAGAGCCTGAAAACACAATGGAACGAGAGAGTCCTGGTACCAATGTATAATTACCTATCTTCCATTGTGTACAGAGAACACGTTTTCATCTACTAACTGGGAACAAAACCAATATGTTTTCACTATATGTTTTTAAAGTACCGTCTATCATTTTAATGATTTCAGCTTAGGGTGGTAACTGACCCCCCCCCTAATACTGTCTGCTTCTTTCGACACTCACGGAGAGTTTATAAACCCGCTGATCTGACTCGTTACGTGCTGAAACGTTAAGGTTTGCCACACAAGTTTGAAGAACCTCCTGGCAGCTAAATAATCGCTACTCAGAACCAAGATTGCAGTGGAACTGAGAATCTCCCAGCCTATTCAGCAATTCAACCTGATTAAAAATAAATAAATGTCTAGCCACCGTCCTTTGAATTCGTCATAGTCAGCTAATTCTGTCGGCAAACCAGAAAGCACACTATCTGGGTGTGTTCTGTTACAAATGTTGTAGTCCCTCTGTTTGTGACTGTCACTGCCATCAACGTTTCTCCAGGCCAAGAACAGATGCAATTTATGCTTACGGATGGCGATAATGAAACATCCGGATATGTTTAGAAGAGACTTACAAGAGAAGCCACAATACACAATTTAATTGACGAGCAGGAAACATAAGTTCTCCGTTTTGTGCCAGTAGAGCAGGATTCATTAAGCGCGGAGCAGGAAGATGGAGCGAATCTCACCATGCCGTCCGATGAAGCCGGTGAAGAGCCGGTCGCTGGCGCTACCGCTGCTGCTAACGATTTTGCTGTTTCTGAGACTAAGTGTGTCGTTGGCCAAAAACCTACCGAGCCAGCGCCTGGTGTCAAATCACCATCAATGGAAGCTACTTCCGCTCTCGAGAAGCGAATCCTGATGAGAGACTTGACATTCGATCAATCTCATTAAAGGATGTTACTGACCTTAGCATGCGGAATACATCGTTCTCAGCATTGGGGACTGACCATGCTTACTAGGCCCTCCACACAAGGCTCACGCCCGCACAGACCGAAGCAAAAAGGTGGGCCAAAGAATATACGCGGGACTAACAGCCGGCATCCACAAAGGCATTGGGTGGCAGCAATCAGGAGTCACATAACCGGCGTAGCAGGCTTCCTTATGAAGGTACCCGCGAGGCCAATAACGATTTAAACGAGCACTAGCAATCAATCGGGGCAACCAACGGAGGCGCCTGCATCCGCCACGCTTATAACAAGAGGTATGTTTTTTAAATGTCAGCATAAATAAAATTTTGTGCCAGAATTCGCCTCCTCTTCCATGTATGGTAAAGGCTAAATTATATCTGGACCCAGAACAATAAAGTCCTTTGCGAACGAGTGATGCTGATTTCACGCATTTTTGAGGGTGTCTCCCCAGGTCGTCGTCAGACAACTCAAAGTTGTACGAAAAATGTTACCATATGAAGATAACTAACATACGATCCTCTAGTGGTCTGAGAGAAAGTAGATAATCTTCATCCACGTTAATTATGCGGTCACTGGGAAGAAACATCCGTCACCCGCATTTGATGATGTAGTTGGTGATGGCTGCTTTTTCTTCCATCTGATCTTGAAAGCTTTGTAATTGACACCCAAATCGATCTGCCTGTTGATGCATGCCCCGTCTGACTGAACTGCCTTCAGGAATTACTGGCTTTTCCTCGTTGGGTAAAGGCCAACGATTAGAATTTCATCCAATGGAAAAGTGCGTTCTGTGTCCAGTTTGTAACCTGCGATGGGTGCTCCAATGCGGATGACAGCTAGTAAGGATGATACTGCCAGTAATTGAATTCCGCACGTACAAACTGGCCAAAGGAAACTGAAGCACCCTAGTTATTTATTTTGTTTATTTATTGATTGCCAGTTTACAGGTAATTTAAAAAATTGGGCTAATTGTTAACGCACATCTTGGGAGCCTTCCAAAACCTCCAAGTCAGGAAAATAACTAAAACAAAGTCCCTATTTTGCAGCCAGTATTGGTTCTGTTTTAGTTTTGTGATTGGTCAATAGTGGGCAAAATAGGGTGTTTGTTTCAAGTGAATAAAACCTAACTTCAAAGGTACGCTACTAGCGTAAGATACGTACAATTATAGATCAAGTTGACAGTTTAGCAGAAAAAAAACTTCAGCTCGTTGAGCGACTTTAGTTCGGGACGGGGAGGGTTGACACAGGAACACATTGTTCTCAGTCTTCCTTGAATGTAATGGTTTAGAGACTCAGGAACAGCGAAATTTTTATCGGCGAACAGTTGGTCGCTGTCTCCTGAAGAATTAGCCGATTGCGGGCCGCAGGTTCAGCGCCATTATCCTCAGCATGAGACCCGGCAGATTTCAAAGTCATCAAACGCCATCAGAGTGAACGAGAGATTCCACGGAGTCAACACCAAAACTTCGAGAAAGTTGTCCAGAATGTACAAAACTAGTGAAAGCTTTATTAAACGAAGGCTAGCTTTGCTGAGTTTCAATAATTCTTGGCAGCTTATTCCAGATTGCTTTGGCGATCACTGAAAAACAAATTATGTTCTATAACTGCGCGTGCCACAGGAAGAAACAAAAAAAACATCTAGATGAGTGGCGCGCCGTAAGTGGTCGAGCTGCCTTACGGCTACCAATGCAGCGTCAAATATTCGCAAACATTCTTGCAGAGAATTCAAGGCCTCGAAGTGAGTTCTGACGAATGTACTATGCCATTCGACATTGTTTCCATCTTTCTCTCTTTAGCGCACGACTTGACCATTGACAGCATAGAGTGACTCTTAGACGAAAATCCTATTGCTATTCCAAAACAACACGTCTTGGACATGTTTGAGCTCTGTCTTAAGAAAATTTACCAACTTCATAGCAAGTACTGTCAATAAGAAAAGGGCACCCCAATGGGCTCGCCAATATCGCGCCTACTTGCCGAACTTGTCTCAAAGCGACTAAAAGGGGATATTTTACAAATTTGCAAACCGAAAATTTGGCTCCGCTACGTAGATGACATATTCAATATCATAGAAGCTTGCGACATCTCTACTGCCAAAATCACTTTCAGCTATGGGAGTTTGTGAATGCCACTGACATCACTGTTCTCCAGGCCAAAATGAATATACTTGCCCTTTGCACTTTTTGGCTTGAATGTGCAGTGTCGCAGTGCCAGTGGCTCTTCGGTCCTCCCAAACTGAGCTGATGCATGAGACTTCAATGCTGATGCTGATACTCAGGATGAATGAGCGCGATTACTTGTGCAGAAACGGAAATGTGTGCGCACAATGTAAGCACGCAGTGCGCGTAAAAGCTGCACAAAAAGCACTCGCATTAATCTGTGCCTTTTGGCCTCTGTGTCATTAAAGAAAGACAGTTGGGTGTGCGTGGTCATAGTTTTTTTTAAAGGCTTTACCCTGCTCTACCAGTGAAACTTTTGTTGGAATTGTGTGGGGCTAGACGGTAGTGCGCAGGTGTGTGCTCCAACCGACTAATTCAATTTACCGCTCCCTGATTACGACTTATATAGCGTAGTTACGCAGCCGATGGGCTTATCCCCGATGAGGTAAGGGCGAGTCTATTCACCTCAACTCTGCACGTGAGTACTGTCCTTCTGCTTTTGTTTCCTCTGTAGTGCATGTATTTGCGCAGTTGCTATAGCCCTACTTTGATATTTATACAACGAAACTTAATGGATAATCACTCACGGACCTGTTATGGAAAAACCTCGTCCCATTCTACCTTGCTGTGCACCCTCGGAACTTCTAGCTGCCACGTGGTGTCTAGCATTAAAGGCAGAAGGATATTTGCGGCCAAGACAATGGATACTAATACAAGCGAACATCCGTATCCCAGGAAGCAATTGAAAAGAAGAAGACTCGATCCCTGGGACAATATGTTTATTCGCCTTAAACCATGATATCACTCGGCAAGAGACTTACCCCTTTAAGTTTCTCCAAGAA